TGTAAGTCGCTTTCGATAAAAGCGTCTGATAAATGACTAAATAAAAAAAAATATATATATATATACAGTGGTGGGAAAAAGTATAGGCCCCCTTCCTGATTTCTTATTTTTTTGCATGTTTGTCACACTTTAAATTAGCTTAAAGAGGAAAATATATAATATAATAATCAAATAATGATTTTTTTTTTAATTAAATTCATTAGTCATTCATCAGAGAGTATATATAAATACATATGGTGTATAGAAATGTCTAGTTAAATCTAGTAAAAAATAATTTTAGAGGCAAAACTCAAAAACCTTAAGTTGTTCTCCTAAAAATGAATAGTTGGTCATCATTTACGTTGTTCCAGACAGGAATTATTTTCTATTTATTTAACATAAAAGGAGAAAAGAAAGTCTAAGTCTCTGTTATCCATACAAAGAAAGAGGATAGTGATTCATATTATCAAGCTCCAAAAAAAGTATATGTATGTCAGAAACATTTTTATAATATTATATATATATATTAATATAATAAGAAAATCTGAAAAAAAACAACAACTGAGAATTCAGATTTCTCTGGCTGTGTATTACAGATCATTTCAGCTGACAGAAAACATCCTGCAATATAATTAGGGGTATTAGTTATACCTCATTTCATCCCATTTCTGCTTGCCTAGAGGACAACTTAAGTAAAATATGACACAGCTTACCCTGTTCTCTTTTTCGCCACAAAACGGATACAAAGTCTAGAAGAAAAATCTACAGATACGACCAAAATGCATGATGGGAAAAAGGAATAAACAAAAAAAAAGCCCTTTTTTAGAGGTTTGGAGAGAAAATTGTGCTGCCGAATCATTACAGCATGAAATATGAATGAAGGAGCCCACTGTGGAACTTCATTACTGTATATAAACTTCAACCCTCCCTACAAAAACACCAAGAAAGTGACTTTCCTCTAGTGCAGGAGGTAATTGTGCCTTCATAGAAGTCGACTGTCACATATCCCATGGGATTAATGATCTCCCACTGTTTTCCGAATGAAACCTTGCTAGTTCCTCGCACTTGTAACGCCACATCTAGTGTAAAACAACTGCGCGGTCTTATATAAATAAATAAATCAGAGCACGGTGTCAAAGCTACTTTAAGCTAGCTGAGTTTCACATTACGCACATATGCTGACAGCTTGCCACAGTTGCACTACCCATAAATTAAAGTGGCACCAAGCATACTTATTGAAAATCCGAAGGGGAAAATGGAATTACTGAGGGCAATCCGTCTCTGCGCTCCATGCGGCAGACGCTAAAGGGGAGGGTAATGGCTTTTTTTCCCGTGGCCGAGAGGAAGCGTGTGTGCACATTTAGGAGGTGCATTATATCCTTCAGGTGGCTCAGATGAGCTTAATGACTTAATGAAAAAATTCACCCCCCTCACAGTTGTCATGAAGGGCAAAATTAGCTATATAGACCAAAATCATTTTTTGAACCAGGCTGTAAACATGTTTTTTTCTGCTGTAAAGTTAGGCATTTTAACATGGGGAGTCTATGGGATTGACTTCCTTTTGCAGCCAGCCTCTAGCGGCCAGTTGATGAATTACAGTTTAAGTCACTTCCGTGTTGGCTTCACGAGAGAGAGCGGGAGGTTGCCGCTTGGTTTGAATGAGCAGCTGAAAGTAGTAAAGCATTGATATTTCAAAAAAAGTGTCCTGGTGTATTTCATGCCTGTTTATAATTAAAAGCCCCACATTATTATTATTGTTTGTATTGGTATCTATCTATCTATCTATCTATCTATCTATCTATCTATCTATCTATCTATCTATCTATCTATCTATCTATCTATCTATCTATCTATGTCTTGATAACCTCTGCTTTTCACGTAAAAAATGTGTTTACATTTTTCGGATTTTCAATTTATTAAATTTATTTTACATTCATTCATTGCAATATGAAATTTAGGGTCATGAAATGGACGTAGCCTGGACTTTGTTATCTAATGCTTTGGACTTTGGACATTAGACTTTGTGCTCCTTTCATTTCCATTTATATGCAATGCTAACATGGGAGAGTGAAAACAAAAGCATGTCCGAAAACGTTATATTTCCAAAGTCTAATGAACTTTGACCTGTAAATTCATAAAGCGTAAAACAAGACTAACAGAGAGTCTAACAGTCACAGATTAAACTCTTGATTCAAAACAAACAATAGAAACCTCAAAGCTACGATGTAGTGCATGTAGAATTTTTGGGAAATTTTATATGTTCACATTTTTCAACCCCTCCCCTTCACCAATCCAAACAATAACCACCCCACATTTTCAGTCTTTTTCGCTTAGAAATATGTCATTTAAATGGGCAAATCCCATCATCAAATTAAATAGTAAAATATGTCTTATTATGCAGTTAAATTGGGTTGCGAATGTCGTGTTATGTTGACTTTAAGGAATTGGGCTTTAACCTTGACAGGTTCATGCTCAGGTGAGGGTGACCCAGATCCTGGAGACGTACTGAGATCACAAATACTGCTCTTTCACTACTTTGCCCTTGAGCGAGGCACTTAACCCAAGGCTGCTTCAGGGAAACTGTTCTTGCTATTAGCATGGTGTGGATGAAATGCATCTGTGAAATGGTAAAAACACTGATAAACACTGAGTATTCACGTATGTACGTTACATAGAAACAATTTGATTTTCAGTGCAGGGGCCCATAAGTTGAGCTGCAAAAAAAAAGCAGCATGCGATTTGGTAAAGCAATGAAATCCTCTATGAATTTTAGCGCTGGGGAAGCTAATCTATGGACATCGCCTTCAGTCTGATATCACCAAACAATCATTCAAGGTCCTCTGTCAAACGCAAGGTCAGTGGCAGTTGGACCTTAAAGGGACACTTGTGTGCGCACGTCTACACAACTCTTGATGTTTACGAGGACAATTTTTTCTATAAGGTGACTGGTGTCTACCCAGAGTACCTGCGTGAGGGTTTTAGCATTCAGTGGAATAGAAGGAGACAGGTGACTTTGAGACAGAAAGTGCAGGGACGACAAGTCCTGCCCACTGGACTGAGTCTATGAATTGTGAATGCGAAAAAGCAGCAACTATGCCAAGAAGAACGAAGGGCACCTGAGGACAGTCACTCACAGCTCAGACTAGCTAATGTATGGTGAGTGTTGGGGAGACTAACAAGCTTAAAAATAGTGAAGCTAACTAACTACATTATTTGATAGCATGACAGTAGTGACAATTTTTACAAAAACAAGCTATATTTTGGATAATGGTTGTATTTATGCTACACTGTTTTATCTAATAACAGAAAAAGCTAATCAAATGTGCTCTGATAGATTTTGTCCATCTTTTCTGTAGAAATAAATACAGAAAAAAGCTATCGTTAATAAGCATTTTCAAATCAGTTATATAAATTAGGACATATGTAAATTATAAATTAGGTTTTATATATATATATATATATATATATATATATATCTACAGCATCACATTTAAGCAACAAAACAACAGACCATTCAAAAGTTTGAGGTCGGTAAGATTTATTTTTAAATGTTTATGAAGAATCTATTTAATAAAAATACAGTAAAAACAGTAATTTTATGAAATATTATTACAATTTCAAATAACTGCTTTCTAATTGAATGTAGTTTAAGATGTCATTTATTCCTGTGATGCAAAGCTGAATTTTCAGCATCATTACTCCAGTGTTCAATGTCACATGAACCTTCAGAAATAATTCTAATATACTGATTTGCTGCTTAAGAAACATTTATTATTATTATTATCATGATCAATCAATGCTTTTTGTAATCCATGTTGTTTCAAAACAGCTAACAAAAATCATGCTTTACTGGAAAAAATGTGGATAGCTATTTGTTCTAGTAGTGTCTATATAATTTGTAATTTGTGTGTGTGTATATATATATATATATATATATACACACACACAAATTACAAATTATATAGACATATATATATATATAATAAAATAATAAAAACTTTAAAATATTGATGAATAAGATGTCTTGCACTGCAAAGAATTTTATAAAAGTTGTTCGTTTCAGTGACAACTGAACCTTTACTAGTTTTTTTTAACAAAAACATGACCCATCTAATAATCTATGATCCGAAAATCATTTTCAAATACGTCAACAAGTCAAAATTTTGCAGGCTCTTTAAATAAAGAGTAGCTTGTTCTTTATATCTTCACCAACACTGATGAGGAAGATTCAAAAATACACACTAAACAATGAGACGATGGATGTGCTGAAACTGCAAACACACACACACACACACACACACACACACACACACACACACACACACACACACACACACAAAATCTATTTACCAAAAATATTTGAATAAAAATGACAAAAAGTGATCTGGCAATGGATGTAGAAGAAGCGCGGCAGCTCGTGGAGAGTAAATACAGTAAATGGCTCTGACCTGTGAAGGTAACGACTCAAGAGAAAGTTGCTCGGCTCGTCTCATTGTTTGCGACTCTGAATGCGGCTCCTACCATTCAATGCGCCCACCGTGAATGTTTAACATATGAATGGGAAACTTGTATGCCTTATGAAGACCATACACTTGCTGATAAAATGGCTGACAAAGCTCATCTCATAGTCAAAATGACAGATATCACATTGCTTTTGGAGCACACTTTCCAGAATGCACAACATGGTATTTTAGGGGGGATGGTTTGAATGTCTATTGTGATTTCTTTTTTAAGGTCCCTCAATCATGGAACACATTCTCTGCTTTAAAAAATGGAAATTAATGTTAATGTGTTCTAAAATGGGGGGAAGAAAAGAGAAAAGAAAAGGGTTGACCTTTTTCCCAATTTAAGATACATTCATTTGAGCGAAACGGTGAATGGCTGCTGGCCCTGTGATAGAAACCAAAGTCTTCCTACAAACCTGCAAGAGAGAAACAGAGGAAGGGAAGAAAATGACACAAATGCGCCCTACGAAAAGAACAGATTGGATCAACGGCTGGTGGGAAGGGAGGAAGGCAAACCTTTTCACCAGGTCCTTGAAATACAAGCTGCAGGAAGCTAGAACATTTTGGTGGACTTCAAACTCTTTGCCTTCAACTATAATTTTCAGGTCTGTAAACTCTTTCTCTCTGCGCTGCTGGTTCAAATCCTTCAACATCTCTGTAGAACAAAGAAGAAACAGACAATGCCAAACACGTTTAGAATTCAGCTTTTTTTTTTTTGGAACAGATGCAACAACAAAAGCAGACAGTGGCAAATATCACCAGAGTGGCACAGATCAAAATTGAATAAAAATTTGACACTTTATGGACACATTAGAAGCAAAATAAACAATGCACATTAGACATCAAGCAGGAATTATTCAGATTAGAAGATGCAAACACACAATGGCATATTTCACAGTTTTAGAAAGAACAAAAATACCTTCGTTTCAAATATTCAGCACTCGGTGAAAGCCAGACATCAGCTGGAGAGGAACTGACTGACTGATATGGGCCAGTATCAGTGTGCACAGTACTGGCAAAAATTACAAATACATTTCCTGACAAAAGTATTGATTTATTATCATATTCCTTGGGCTACGGTGGCTTTTTTACAATACTTTATAAGATAATTGTATTGTCTGTATTTTAGGACAAAGAAACAGAGCAAGCTGAAATGATGATTAATGTGCGTCAAAAACCTAACTGGATCATTCTTTTTATTTTATAATAGATAACATTTTATATTCAACAACCTGGATGCATGACTTTCCAAAAAGAAAATGCTCTCCGCTTTCAGAATGCTAAGAAAGGAAAACAAATGTAATGTTTAAAACATGATTTTAAATACTGCCATACAGTATTTCGTTCCAAATAAATGCAGTTTATATTCATGGACAAACACTGGTGTTTAAGCTCTAAGACCATAAAATCATCATATTAATGTATTTGGTCTTGGCGGAATAGATCTGCTACGCTGCTGCTGCTGTTGGTTATTGCTGTAGTTATTATTGCTGCTGCGGCAAGCAAGTACAGGAACTTGCTACTTCTAATGCATACGGCGATACGGTGCCGTGAGTATTTAAGACATACTGCTCCTGCACAAATAGCATATAAAATAACCCGTAGCAGATCTATACAGGTGGAGCTGGGGAAGGTGGAGGGTTTCAGAGAAACTCTGAAAGCGCACTGCAGGAATCTCTAGTGAATGCTAGCCAGCCATATAAATGCAAGGCAGTACGCTCATTAGCTGCATATGCAGCATGAACCAATCAGCTTGTGCCAAGTTGTTTAACTCTCTGAATATCATCAGTTACGTTAACAACCCATCAGCCTGCGCCATCTAGAGTTTCATGACTAAACTATATGTGGAATTTTCCATTGTAATTGCATTGTAATATTAATCAAAGTATTAATCTGCAATATTACCGTTTTTACTGCATTTTTCGGTCAAATAAATTCGGCCTTGTTTTTTTATTATTATTATTATTATTTTGAATATCACAGCTGTTTGACACTGACTCACGTTTAATTTGTTTATTAATATGGCTGCTACTGCTAATACTACGACTACTATTATTAAAGATTAGTTACATTATTTGTGCAGCGATATAAAAGGCTATAAAAAGCATATTTTTACAATAGTAAACGGCCAAATTCCACATGAGATCGCAAAAGGAAGTTATTACAAACACTCGATGGTGGTTTAAAGTGAGTTTTGAGTAAAAGTGTACTAATAATCAGAAAACCAGCCAAACATCTTGTAAACAAACAGAAAGCTTCAAAGAGAGAGACAAACCTCAGCAGACACATTGCAAAATACTTTCAATTCACAAATAGTTTCATCAATACATTAAATTCCTTAAGACAAAAATGTCTGTGTTCTCTGATCTTCACTATCAAAAACAAGAAAACAAAAGAAAAGCTTGTTTGAAGTCATGCAGGGGGAAAAACATTGCATTGATGAAAAATGATATATATAGAGAGAGAGATTGAAATTAAATAAATAAAGTGTAAAATGTTTATACAGGTCTAAAAAAGTGCAAAACATATGTACAGTATATAAATATTTGCAAGTATAGTCATATTTTAGTATTAAATTAATATTCCTGCAGATCTCATTGCCTATTTGACATGTTTACCAGAATCATGGGAACATTCATGCACAATCAAGTCGGAACGCAGAGGAAACAAGCGGCAGATGTAGATGTGGACGCTTATGTAAATAGACAGATACCGAAGCAGAAGTCCAAGGAGACCAGCAACGAAAACGAGCCCCGTTTAATGAGGATCTGTAAAGCGATTCTGACAACCGGTCCTCGCACAGCAACTTTAACAGGGAGCCTGCGTAAGGTCAACAGCTTCAGACAGCCCAACACAGCAGTGTCTGAAGCCAAAGTGCAGCACAACGACAGCCATCTTGTCTCTTTATCAAACACGCTCTCTCGAAACCAGCCGCAGCTCAACCACTTTCTGCTTCACAATTCAGCTGCTAATTATAATCCAAAAATACTACCCGTTTTGACACACTGTATTGACACCGTGTTATTGCGGCTAAATATTCTGAACGGATTCACCATCGGCTAATTCACGCCACTTCCTCAGCACTGTGAGCATGGAGGAGATTTCAGAGGAGAGTGTTGATTTCTGCAGCCTAATCTGTGATATTTTTATGAATAACAGCTCGTAATGAGTGAATGTGTCTCTTGGTTGATTTTATTTGCAGCCTATACAAGCGGTTTATTTGATCTGGTAACGCAAGATTTTAGTCAAAATGCATCATGTAGTCATCGTTTGGGAACAAAGGCTGGTGGAGATGTTCTGTAAATATAGAAAATTACCTCAATTTTCATTCTAACATTTCTGATATAGACCAGCAAGCATCAATTTAAAGCGTTTAAAGCATTTTAAGTAAACAGAGCCATGTTCTACAGTGTATGGACATAATATAATTCATATTCGTTTAACTACTTATCTGAATCACTCATAAAATCACGGGACAACTGTGAAGATCCGACAGCAGGGAGAACCGAATCTAATTATTAGAAACAATGCGCTATTTCAGAAATCAATTTGATCTGCAGCGCAAAAGCAAATGGAACAGCATTGTAAACACATCAGCGAAATGAACAACTACATTAACGCAGCACGCACACAAACCCACACACACACACACACACACACAGAACAATAATGAGAGCCTTGAGCCACAGCGGCCACTTCAGCAAAACTAAACCAAACACAATGAAGCTCAGGGCCGTCTAGAATTACACTGAAATTACAAAGAAAACAGCCGATTTACTGATACTTCAACACTACAGGCCTGGTTGTTCACTGTTCAGAATGAATCAATAAATAAAGAAATAAATAGAAAAGAAATGTGTTAAATGGAATTTTAATTGCTAGAAAGCAATTAAAAGCCCACTGTATATTACAGTGTGAATTACAGTTGACATGCAAAACATTTCATAATATAAAGCCATTCTGAACAATTTGCAAATTTCTCGGGATTTTTCTGACAACTGAAGCTATTGTCTAAAAAATACTTGTGTATTTGTGAATTTTGAAGTTTTATGAAAAATAAATATTATATATATATATAATATTTATTTTTCATAAAATTTAATGAACAAAATAACTAAATAAAAAAAAGTGTTGTGCTTTCAAACACACAAAAAGGAGATTTTTTTTTGTAAGATATAACTATTATAAAATGTGTATAAAACAGTTGTTTATGGATGATGTGGTTGTTTCAGAATTAATTGATGAACAAAGAAAAAAAAAAGGCTAAATGGAATTTTAATCACTAAAAAGCTATTAAAAACCCATAGTACTTTACAATGTGAATTATACATGACATGCAAAAAAAAAAAAAAAATTCATAATATAAAGCCATTCCAAATATTTTGCAAATTTCTCTGTTTTTTTTCTGACAGTTTAGGTAATTAATAATGCTAAAACGTAATGCATACCTGCACAAATGTAACAAATTACATTTTGACTTTTTAAAAACACACACACACACACATTTATTCTTTCCAAAATGTAATTAATAGCAAAAGTAATTAGCTGGATTTTGTGTGCATTCAAATACACACAAAGCGATTTTTAGTAAGATATAAACATGAATGTATTATGATTGTTTTAAACAACAGCAAAAACCAGTGCTAAACTAGCACAAAACCTTCCTCTGCTAATTAGCAATGATAAACCTGACAGCAGTCAGAATAAAAAAAAGTCTTTGAATAATGTAACTGAATGTGCTCCACATTATACAGGTTAGTGTGTATATAATATGGGAATTGCGATCGAATCGCAGCGCAGCAAGGCTTTGTGAATCATCGTCGAACAGCATGGCTTTCACCTCCAATCTCCAGCACTGCACTCGACACCCAATTCACAAACGAATGACAGCGAAAGAGCTAGACTCATGGTTTCCACACACACATGCACACACACACAAAATACAAATAAAGAAATAATATTTCTGTGTATTTCTTTATTCTAATATGCTGATTTGGTGCTCAATTATCAATTATTGCTGGTGCTAAATTATTAATAATATTTTTTATTATCAATGTTGAAAAGAGCATTTTATTTTGTTGGAAAATGAACAGAAATATCAAAAGAACAGCATTTATTTTAAATTAAAATTTTGATCAATTTGCATCCCTGCTGAATACATATATTTATAAAATAAGTATTCATTAAAAAAATTATAATAAAAAAACAAATTTTTATGGTAATTTAATGGTTTTTAACATTGATACAAGTTTTCTGAGCACCAAATCAACATAATTTATTAATAAATGTATGCCTCCACATTTAAATGTGAATCCACATTTAATTTCTAAATGTTTATTTATTAATATCTTCAGTAGTCTTGATGATTATGAAGTGTGCAAAGAGAGATATATATATATATCATATATAACATATATATATATATATATATATATATCATTGACTTTGTCTGTGATTTATTTTTAGAAATGTAGAAACTACCAAATATTTTGTATTAAAAGAAGAGATCCTCAAAATCTTTCTTTTCGGGCTTAAAGAGTCCAGTATGTGAGAGCTGACTAACTAAAAGACTGAGATGGGAGAGACAGCTTACTGTACACGCAACAGCTTTCACTGACACAAAGACTCTACAGACGCTTTCTGAATGGCTGCCTT